ACCAAGCTGGCCTCAAATTCACAGAGATCTGCCTGCCTCTGCCTCCCGTGTGCTGGGATTAAAGGTGTGCACCACCACCGTCCAACCGTGTGTGTGTGTGTGTGTGTGTTTTAATTTGCTCTTGAAATGCAGTCTCGCAGAGGAATATCAGAATGTGCTGGGGATTATGGAAACCCTTTCCAACCCAGAATGCATCTAAGGTAGTTACTCCAAGCCAACACCCACCCCTCCAAGTAAGTTGTAGTGCTCAGTCTACACTCACCATCTTGACTTCCAAGTTAAACTTTACATTATTGAGTTATAGTAAACAGAAGCCCCTTAGCCTATCACAAGCCCCCTTTCTCAAAGATGAGCAGTCTGGAGTGCTTATGTAAGAACAATGTTACAAACAGATGTTATTTGCTTTCCGAGCTGAAGAGTTGACCCTGTAGGAAGTCAAATAGAGCCATGACCTACCTAAGTCCTTATCAACTTCCCCAACATCTATTTTCTTTTCTCTTGAGGCTCAACGCAAATAGTTACTTGGGGAATGTGAAGTGAAGCATCCTCCTTGGTTCATCAGCTTCACTGGAGCAGTGGCAAAAGTACCCTGAAGGACCTAGAACCAACATGGGAGAGGGTCCTTCTGCTATTGCTCCTGTTGACCTGAAATGCTGTGTGGAGCCGAGAAATGAAGCAAGAACTCACGGCCTGGCTGTCCAACTGGTAAACTTCCAAAGCCGGTTCCAAGAATGCAGATATGTTGGCTTCTCTATTGGCACGGGCCTTGACTGGAGGTCTAAAGACAGAACTCCCAAGCCTCACTCATGACAGTCTTCAGATCCCCCTGGTCTCCTAGACTTAGCCATTCCTATCCACCCAATTATAATCCCTCACTCCTCCAACTCCCCAGAAAGCTTTTGGCCCTGGGGAGAATCGGGCAGCTGTAGTGCCCATTAAAGGAGTCTGGATCTCAGCCACTTGAGGCGACTTCCCGATGACCTGGATGAAGTCACCTCCAGTTAGTTGTCTTTCTGAGAAACCATGTTGTTTGAGTTTTCACAAAACAGCAGGATTTGGAGCCATCTCATTATGTAAATGGGGACTTGGGCACATTTTTCCACTCCCTTGGCAATTATTGTCTGATAGTAGAATTATTGCTAATTGCTTTATGGTTTTATAGCTGTGTGTGTGTGATTTAGTATCAGTTCTAGACTGAGGTTAAAGAGTGCATGGCCTTCAGGATTTTAAGACAGAGAATTACCCTGGAAATAGGCAGGGCAAGAAGAAGAACCAAAGGTTTATGCATGAAAGGGGATCACACCTTCTAGGTAAGACCTTCTCTGAAGCTTGTACTCCGTATGCTAAAATGGGGTTGAAGATCCCTGGGTGTGAAATAGCCCCAGATTCTACTTGCATGGCTTGATCTTATGTAACTGGGAGAAAATACCCTGAGAATGTCTGCTGAGAACACCCTGCTGCTCTGTCAAATATATGCTAGGTCTGGTTCCCAACACTGCAGTTTTTTTCTGACAGTCTTTCTGTGTGGCCCTGAATGTCCCAGAGCTTGCTTTGTAGACCAGGCTGGACTCAAACTCACAATGATCCTCAGGTCTCTGCCTCCTGTGTGCTGGGATTGAGGTTGTGCACCACCATGCCTAGCCTTCACAGAGTTTTTAACAGACAGAGTTGCAAGGGCAGTGTACACACACACACACACACACCCCATGGTGTCACTTGTTCTTTGGGGCTCCTGACCCTGGCTAAGTGTGTTGAATGTGTTGGGACACAGGGCACTTGCATCCCCTCCCCACAAAGAAAGAGGGCTGGCTTAGGGTGCTGGCTGCAGTATCAATGGGAAAGAATTTCATGAAGAGGCTGGGTGTGGTAGTGCACTCTGTGACAGTGATTCTGTCACTGGGAGGCTAATACAGCAGAGTCAGGAGTTCAAGACCAGCCTGGGATGCATAGAGAAGACTCTATTTTAAAATAATTGAAAGAATGAAATTGAAATAGCAAATTGCAGGGCTGAAGAGATGGCTCAGAGGTTAAGAGCACCGACTTAGTGCTCTAAGTCCTTCCAGAGGTCCTGAGTTCAATTCCCAGCAACCACATGGTGGCTCACAACCATCTGTAATGAGATCTGGCATCCTCTTCTGGCCTGCGGGCATACATGCAGACCTGTACACATAAGTAAATCTTGAAAAGAAAAAGAAAAAAATAAGAAATAGCAAATTGCTTGTAAGCATTCCTGGATCTTCAGGGTTGTACCATCTGTCCAGGCCCTCCTCCACATTGTGTTAGATGGGGACACTTTGCCAAGACAGATCTACAGCAGCTGGGCTGTGGGTATAGCTCAGTGAAAGGTTCCTTGCTTAGTATATTCCAGGCCCTGGGTTTGACCCTCAGAAGCACACAAAAATTGTGTGTGTGTGTGTGTGTGTGTGTGTGTGTGTGTGTGTGTGTATGTGTGTGTGTGTGAGAGAGAGAGAGAGAGAGAGAGAGAGAGAGAGAGAGAGAGAGAGAGAGAGAACATACCAGTTTTGCCTGTGGTGCCAGGCACTGGCATACACTGGAAGTCTGACTAGCTGGCTAATATGCTACTCCTAGGGTGAGATCCTTTCATTCCCATCATTTGGCATTGGTAAGAGGCACACAGAAGGACCAGTCTGCTAGACCAAACCTCTTCAACTCCTTGCTGCCTTCTAGGTCTCCTCTCAGAAGTCAAAGTCACCAACCAAAGTTCCTTGACAGCGTCCTAGGTCCCACATCATAAACCTTGGGGCATATAATATTTACCACCTACTGCGGGTGTGATGTCGAAATGAAAAAGAAATAATACTTCTAAATCTCACATGAAGACTGAGGAGATCGATGAGGTAAATGATATGAAATAGTTTGGACTCCCTGGGAAGCAAAGTGGGGCATAAATTTAGGCTTCGTCACTGAATGGACCCCCATGCTAATAACTCAGTGCAATTAATGAAAAGTTCGCTTGGCTGTGTAGATGGCGGGACTGCGTGGGCTACTGTTGGAGTTTAGGATAGAATAATTCTGATTAGTAATTCCATGGAGTTGGTGACCATGATGTCCCTGCCTCAAGTCATTTCTTTCCTCTCTCCCTCCGTCTTCCCTCACAGCCCTTTTCTTTTTTAAACAATTGTTTTCTTCCTGTGACAAAGATTCTTAGTGTAGCCCTGGGTGGCCTGGAAATTCCTACTTTATACTACTCCCCAATCCTGTTGCCTGTCTTCTGGGCATTGGGATTACAGGTGTGAACCTCTGCCTAGTCTCCCCCCCACCTTGAAACAGGGTTTCACACAGTCCAGTCTAGCCCCAAACTAAGTAGCCTCTGAGACTGGCACCCTTCTGTCTCATCCTCCTGAGTGTTGGGATCACAAGCGTGTCAACACTCAGCTTCTCGCCCCTGAATAATGCCCTCAGATAGCTCCAGCACACTGAAGCCATCTCCCAGTGGCTTCTAATTCAATGCCTGAGCCCGGCTTTCTGTTCTTGAGAATCTAAATAATGTGTGCTCCTTGAAAGCACCTGGCCACGCTTAACTGCCACCACTGCAAGAATCTCAGCCACTCCTTTGCTTTGATAACAGTCCCATTCTGTGTAAATAACAATCGTGTCCCTGGTTCATTGGCCAAAAAGAATAGCTGTTCTCAGAGCTCCTCCTGCCTCCCTCCCACCAGGAACCAGACTTCTTCAAAGAATTCTCACTCTTTGGCACTTATCCTGATCAGCCTGCCTGATCGTTGCGGCAAGATGCTCTAGTCGAGGGCACCGGCGTCCTGTCCTCTGTGTTCCCATTGTCACTGGCTGATTCTCTTTCATCGGCTAGAGCTGTCAGCAGGATTCGGTTCCACTTATCACTCTTCCTGGTATCCCTCTGCCAACTCGGCTTCCGGAACGGCCGCGCTCCCGCTCTCTGTCTGTGTTGCGCAACTCCCGGGGCCACGTTTCTTTCTTCCATGGTTTGGCGTATTCCAGCGGCAGGCCAAGTCAGCCCGCACAGGTTCTCGCGGACTTTGTTGGAACACGTCCCCATCTGTTTGCTCCCAACTGTCTGCGGATGCTTTGTGCTATAATGGTAGATTGAAGTGATGGCAACGAGGGGCATGTGGCTCGTGAAAGTGAAAACATTTACCATGTGACTCCTAATAAAACATGTGCAGAAAAATGGCTTGCACTGTCTGGAGATGGTTTGCTTCCTGGCCCCTGGCCACTCCTAGTCTCCCATGATTCTCATTCCCCTGATTTCTAGTCCTCTGCCCTTGAGATCCTTCTGTACCTAATCTTTGACTGAGTGCAACCAAACCCACCTCCATCTTCTCTCTCTCTGAAAGGATCTCACATAG